ATCTAATGTCTAATTTCAACGGACGAGGGGCCCGGCGCCGAAAGACATGGTGAGTGGAAGAGGACTTTCGGAATCTTGGAACAACTCGGAGAAGAAGATTGGGAGATTGGTAGATTGGGAGCATAAACACAAACGGGCTTTCGCGACAACCTAACATATCGATCATCAAACGCAGCACAATCTACAGAGCGCTCAACTTTGGATTGGTCTAGATTGGAAATGGCATGAGAGCTGTACGGCCGCTCCGAGCTGCCTCCCGGCCTCCCTCCGGCATGTCTGATATTTGTTCCGTACAGAATGGTGAAGGGTTACGGATAGAAACAAGGTATCTCTGAATGTCCGTCAGATCGGTGGTACGTATCTGGATAAGTCCGAATACTGGTTGAGTAGGGTACCTGAGGAAGACGGTTACGAAAGGGAAAGCATTAAGCAACTGGCCCTGCCTTCCCTTTTTGCTAAGGTACCTGACCGGCTTGAGCATCGTGAACGGACACCGACACCAACAAAATCAAGCACAGACCAGCTGATGGCAATGGCGTGTCACCTCACAAAGGGGAAGACGGCTACTAGTGCCTGATTACTGAGGTTCTAGACGCAAAAGAGGTGGAGGTATTCTGTACATGGACGCATACATCCAAAGATACTTGTCGTGGAGGGAAGGTACCTTTACCCTGCCTTACCGACAGCTCTGGCGGACCTAGCAACCTGACCTTTCGAGGTGGATTTCCCTCTGCCAAGGCCAAGGGCAGGAACGGCCTGGCAGGCCGGTACCTGTCGTCAACCCAATCTCCCACCAATTTCCCATGTACCGGAGTCGACTTCTGTTTTGGGGTCTACCGTCTACCGTCTACTAAACCGTAACCTGGTCTGCCCCTCTCAGTCGGCTCCAATTCGCAGTACATACCATCCAACACCTTCCCTCTCTCCCAACTGTTCGTTGCCCGTATCCTCTTTTTTACCACCTATATGGCCTTGCTCGAGAACCCACGCCGTATTCGTCTCTTCTCGTCTCGTCTCGTCCCAATCTCGAAGGAAAACGAACTCCTCTTCATTGCACCTCAAGATAGGAGACCTGAACTAGTACGGAACTCCGGCGTCCGCCCTCTGCATCCATTCTCGTCTGAACTCCAGCCACCCGTGGCCCGTCGTCTGTCTGCCAGGCATCTGTACAGATATTCTGCCTGTCGGCCCCGCCATTCACTCTCAGTCTCTGTGCTGAGCTGTGCTGTGCGGTGCGGTGCCATGCGGTGCGGTGCCGTAGGTGTTCTACGAGCGAACGACCACGGGAGAGAGACACAGACGCTATACCGCGGGCAAGGGTCATGGCAGAGACCAGCGGATAGTCCACCCAACGATAGGTACGCCAGGGGAACCGGGGACACACGCTCGCGCCTATCTCGTCCAGCATGTTGCATGTTCCTTTGCCCGTAGGCATTGCGGCAATCCCAAGCCAAGCCAAGCCCAAACAGCAGTAGAAAGTCGCGCTAGAAACGACCCTAGAAAACACACGGCGTATGCCCTGTGCGGGGATCGAGGTCCGCTGACGGCCTAGTCTGCGTCCGCCGCATATCTCGCTTTGTCCCCGTGAAGGAGGAAGTTCATATCCTAGCCACAACAGGCCTTGCTCTTCACTTTCCATCGGCCGACGACCCCTTTCAAGGGAGCCTGGAAACCTCCAAACAAGGGGCAACGACCAAGTCTGAGATATGTCTGACTGGGAGACGACGGATATGGCTCATCGCCCGTTGATGTCCAATTCAGTCTTCACACAGTCGGCATTGTCTACGCAAGCGCATCAGGCGAAGACACTCGACACACCCTGAATCGTGTTGATTCCCACATTCCACATTTCAAAACGTGTACATCGGTTGCTTGTCGGCAATTGAGAGCGTCCTTCGAGAAAAAAATGACGAGACATATCGATACTTGGTACTATTCCCACGACGGCATCTATTCAACACAAGGCTGTACCTTACTCATGGCAGCCGCTTTATTCTTGGCGGTTGGCATACATGGTGGTACGCTCGACGACATGTTCGCGCGTCCCACATGGCATGAATGTGTATTTCCCTGCAAACCATCACAATGACCATTTCAATCCTGCGAAAATTCTCTTCCTCGGCAAAGGCATAGCAGCATAAACTGTGGCCCAAGCACCATGCCGCTAGCCCATTCAGAACATCCAATGGCACGCCGTTAGTCGCCTGTTCAACGGAGAAGAAGAAAAAAGGCTTGAGAGGGTTGAAAAATGGAGGATCACCAACACGAACCCACGCGTATGTACCCGTTGCAGGTGCTGGAGGCGCCGCCGTCCAATTGCCATTCTTCCTGCAGCAGAACCTTGCCCGTACCGGCTTGGACCTGCAGCGGCGCTACAGTCCGGCTCGTTTTATCCCCCACCGCCGCGATGCCGCCCGAGATGCGGTGAAAGACCGCCCCGCTCCGTTCCATGTGGGAAGTCAACCAACAAATGCCTCCTCACGCGGCAACCGGCTGGGATACCGCTTCTGCTTGCCATTCGATACTGACTGCCTCCTCTCAACGCTGCCTGTCGTGCTATCGTGCCCATCATCCGATGTCTACACTACTCCCGTCACCATTCAACATGTGTGGTGGCTCACCAGCCAGCCAACCATCCGCGCTCTCTCCGCCTTACGGTTTCACCTTTCTCCCGTACATCCCCGTCAGCTGGCCCTCCGACCCGTCAGACATATTCTCCAACGTTCGAATGAAACGCTGACCCATCCAGCACTCCTCTAGAGTCTCAACTACGAACAGGCCTCCCCGCGTTCATCTTGGGCCCGTCATCCAATGAATAGCTACCATCAGGCCGTCTAAACCGCACCATAGCTCTCGTCTAGCCGGTGACAGTCACAGGGTAGACGCATTCACTAAAACCAAAAACCCCGTTGGAACACACGTTGGACCTGACGGCGTTCCAGCTTCTGTGGTCATTGTCCTTTTCGTTTCTAATCGGGCGAGTCGGAGCTAATAGTATTTCCTGAACCAAGATTTCACGGCTAGTCATCCAGCAGGTATACGGCGAATCAGATTCTCGACACGCCTTAGAGTTCGTAAGCCATGTCTCAAGACAAAGGCCCGCCTCTGTAAGCAAGCAATGCCAGGATAGTGTGGCTCGCTTTCCTCGGCACGCTGTGGCTTGCGCACTCTCCATGTGAATGACGTTGGAGGACTCCAGCCATTGCTTGCTGGGCGCTCGACGCTCGTTATCATTAGATATCATTTGGGACGACGACGACCGGGACGGCATGAATCGTGGCTTGGCCAGAGTTGTCGGACGGTACCTTACCCCTCCAGCGGGCAGGCATCACTTCCTCCAAGATGCGTGGCCAGAGGGTGTGAAGGTTGACTCTATCTCTTTTCGTTTCTCAAACAAGATCTTGGCACAAGTCTAATTGCGAGTGCGAGCCGCGGGAGCCAAAGCCGCCCAGGCATGTCTGTTGTCTCGACTTTTTGACCACAGTGGATTCCTTATACTCCAGACCTGCGAGCAGACCTGCTCCAGACTTTTGCGGCGAGAAAGAAAAGCTGTTTAGGTGGGATTGTAATAGGTGAGGTGGTTGATCGGCATACCTATGGATTGATCGCCGTGGATGCCGTGGATAGCTTGCTGTAAATTTGGAAAAGCAAGATCCCTGTGCAGAGTGGGAGTACCTTACGTCGCCTCTTTCTTTGGAGACATTTTTCCACACGAGGCCGTGGATCGGCGTGGCTCAAATGCTGGCAAAACTTTCCCCCCGCCTTGGCCAGTGCTTCCTCTCCCAGTGGTCTCCCGGTTACACGGGAAGGAGAATAAGAGAAAGAGACTCCGGAAGCGTATCACCTAGAGTAGACGGGAAGAGGCGGGCGCATCGCGCGTATCGTCGTCGTCGTCGTCGTCGTACGCCGCGTTGTTTTGCTTTGCTCTGCTTTGTCTCCGATGTTGCACTCTTTGTCCATGTAAGTTGGGGCGCCGCCGGGCGTCGCGCGCCGAGCGGGTGGCGAATGTGTAGTTTATATACCACGCGATATGTCGCGGGAGTTATATGTATACGTGCGTTTTGACGACGACGTCGGCGACTATGTGAAATGTCTGCTTTCAAAGAGTCAGAGAAAGGATGAAAAAAAAAAGGAAACGAAGAGGGAGAAAAACAGGGAAGAAGAATAATAGTAGCATGGGACAACGAAAATACATCATCGTGGAAACGCAATCAAGTGTCTCGTGCACCAGTATAGAGTAAAGTACTGGATAGATTGAACGATATCTCTCTGAGATTGTAAATTCACGGAGTTTTGAAACATGTTGTATAGTGTTTAGTTTTATCACAAATGCTCGAGAAAAAGCTCTACCCAACACTAGTGCCAAGTCCGATCACGCACCCTCTCGTTTTGCAGCTATCACCAGAGCACGGCATCTCGGAACAGATTGCTGTCATGACAAAGCCAGAACTTCTCAAAAACCTCACACCTGTGCCAAAGTTTCATGGCAAAGGCCAATTCACTAGCATTGCAAAAGTCATGATGGAGGAACAACATATCGAAATAAGAGTGGCAGGCCCTCCCTAATCGTGTATTTTATCTGTAATCTGAATCGTCGTGTTGCTTGCTGGCAGCTTCTGTCTGCATCAACCTCTTTCTTTTTTTATGTCCCGCCTCTCTCATGCCTTTCCCAATTCGTTATTGATGTGTAGAAGAATAAAGAGGAGCCTTGGTGCCGTGGCACATCTGTTAAGGCTCATGGAAAGGAAAGTCAAAAAACACCAATGCCTCAGCCTCGTCGAGAGCTGTTAAAGTTACACCCAGAACCTGACTTCCCAAAAGTCCCCAGTACTAAAGAAATGATCCTCATGTATGAGGGATGCTGCATGACCCCGTGACTTCCCTGGAATCTAGACTCAGAATAAGGACCCCCACCCGGCGCCGAACTTGGAGTTCTTTGACGAGAGGCTCGATCCAGACGAGTAGAGAACACCATCTTGTTGCCGAAATGCCTCCACATCCTAATGCAGACCGTTCGCCTTACCATTCGTCTGCAGGTCCGGAATGTCCTCCGTGGCAGCCCGAGTAGCCTCATCCACACTATCCGCAACTAACGTCTCGGCAGACTCGGCCGTTGTGCGAGTCCATTCCTCCAGACGTGCCTTGTCGATGTATTTGCGCAGTACCGAGTCTTCCCACTTCATTGCATCCAGGAGCTTATCCCGGTAAGACTTTTCCCAGCTAGCCCAGCGGGCGTCGAGGTCGTCCACGAATGCTCCCAACGCGTCGGAAGGCCTCGTTGGTTGGAAAGGCTCGTCAATTCTCTCTGTTTGGTAGTTAGCAACTGGCTTCGTGAGAGCGACTTGGTGGTACCCACGTTTTTGGTAGCAGGAAATGAAAGCACTGAAGAGCGTAGTCCTGGTTAACTTCTCTCCAACGAACGAATCGTCCTTCAACTGCGTATCGTTGAGCTTTGTCCAATCATCGCGGATGAAGCAGCGTCTCCAGATCAAACGCTTGGCCATCTTCGACTCCTCGCCCTTGAGTCCCAGTGAAGCAGCCTCCAGAGCCAGATAGAAGGGATCATCAATGTCGGCGGCCGTCTCACCCGGCAGATGAACGAGAGTGAGTAGGTCAATGAGAGACATGGCATCAAGAGCCTCGTGCTTAAGGAGCCTTCTCATGCTGCTCTCGAAGACTTGGATCAATGCCTTTTGTTTCTTTGGGATGTGAAGACAGTGATTTTCCATGGCAAGTTGCAGTTCAGCGCTTTCATCTACAGCCATCTGAACAGAAGGGAAGATCTGGGCGTAGAGCTGATCCTGAATTTTGATGAGATGAAGTTGATCGTCGATGATCTCAATCTTCTCGTCGGATGTTCCCTCAACCTCGACGTTGGCTTGCTTGAAGCCGAAGAGATCGGATGGGGCAGGCTTCTCAGATTCAGCTAGCAAAGCTAGCTTTCCAAGACTAAGTTCAATCTTCTTGTTCCAGACCTGCTGCTCACGGGTAATACCGAGGTCGAAAAGAGTCTCCGCCGCATGCCCAATGTCACGCTCACGCTGGATGTCGTTGATCCACGAAATCTTGGCGAGTTCAGGTTTGGTGCGTAGGAAATTTGTTCTGTATCCATGGTTGTCGTGACTGAAGTCCAATACGGCCTGGACACCAGCATTGTCGAGCAGAATGTCGTACGTGGGGAACGCAAAGGCCTCGCCATACTTGTCAAAGTACACACCAATTTGCTTCTCTTTCAGCTCCGCTTGCTTAGTGAGTTCGCGAGCATCGACTTGTGATCTTGACACTGTCGCTTCACTTCTGAGACTGTTGATCTGTTCGATCATAGCCAAAGCAAGGGCTCTCCAGCACCGGTGCTTCTCGGCAATGTTGATACTCTCATCCCACTTGCCGAGACGGAGAAGGGAGAGAACCTTGTCGTTTCGGTCCGAATCGTAGAGCTTGGAGAGATGCTCTGACCACTTCTGCGCCTTTGCGTCTTGTTGTACAGCATTCCATCGAGATGCCTCGAGCAATGACACGAGGTACAGATCGCTCAGATTGGCAATTTCTGAGTTGATCTTCTCCAGGAGCGCAGGATCCGGCTGCTTCGTCTTGTCCTTGGTCTTCTCCTTGGGAGGGTAGTATTGATCAAGCCACGTGTGACTGAGCTCAAGAAGCCGCTTCAAGTTGTTGCAAATGTAGTGACATCCGGTCCAGGGTTCAGCGAGACCATCGTAATTGTCGCGCAAGATGCCGAATTGCAGCTCTTCGTCTTCGAGTCCGTAGAATGAGAGCTTCTTTTGCCGGTACTCGAGCGCCGTCATGAGAGCGACCAGATTCACTTGCTGGGCCTCGTACATGAGTCGAGTGATTTTAGCATCGTCCATGATGTGGTCTTTGTACATGTACTTGATCACTTCATAGGCCCACGCGATAAAGATCTCGAGCTTGCCAACGTCATGCACGAACCAGTGCCTGACGCGATCGACTTCCCCTGCGCTGCGGTTCGGGTTCGTCTTTTCGTCTTGGTGAATGAACTCGACAATCTCAGCAATCAGGTCCTTCTTGTCGTTCGCAGGTCGCTCGTTCGTAAAAGCCTCGTGACGCTTCCACAGAACTGTTGCCACCATCATCTTCTCGGCATGCGAGAGTAGAAGCCAGCGGGTACGACGGTCCAGCTTGACCTTTGTTATCTTGAGGTGAGACATCAACCGATCGAGGGCCTGACAGCGAGTGCTAAGATTGTCTTCCAAAGATGCGAGCAGACTTGAAATGTGCGATGTCGCTGAACTCATGATCTCGTGGCTGAGTTGCAACGCAGCTTCAGACACCTCCTCATCCGAAAATTGCACCCCTTTCCTTCCGTCGAAAATCAAGGGGGTATCTTGCTTGTTCCCAAAAAAGACAGCTTGCTCTAGCTTGCTCTTTGGCGTGACTTTGGGAGGTTGGTCACTGCCAAATTTGTCTATATCTGTTGTTGTGAGTCGCACGATACCAGTACCGCGGACCATGAGAACGACTGCTGGGTTCTTCGTCTTCTGGCGGCTTCTTGACTCCTCATGACCAGTATTAGCGGTCTGAGGCTCTTCAAAGCCAGATCCCAAGATCTCTGGCTGATTGTTGTCCGAAAGAGTGATGACATCTTCGTAGGTGGGAGGAATAATGTGGTTATCTTCTTGGAGCTGAGCGTCTGGTGATTCCGGAGGGTTGCCGATGGATGCCACAACTACAGCCTTGTCAAAAACGACGAAAGCTACAAGGGCCGGTCGGGGGAGATGCAAGCGAGGCCTGGTGGACTGCACTGGGTTCGCAGGATTGAAGCGCGCCTTGTATGAGGAAATCGGACGAACCATGCCAACTTGCGCGGAGGCCGGGGAAAGGATGACCTCAACCAAAGAGTAGTGCGACTCCTTCTTTTTGGTGAAGCTGACGAGAAGTAAGAGATGCTGCAGGTTCTTGTCTTCCGAAGCCATGGCGTTGCTGAGTCTGCTCATGTCCCGATACTTGGCATCCAAGCCCTTGGGAACGAAAGCAAAGTCGACAACCTCGAACGTCTCCGGCTGGAAGTCAGTAGCTGAGGGATCAACGTCGCGAATCGCTTGAATAATCTCCTCCTGCATGTCCGCTTCCACAATCGTGTCGTGGTGTCCACCGCGATGTACATTCCAGGCGTGAAGTCTGCCCTTCAACGTAGCTGCGACAACGTTACGTTCGCCAACTCGAGAAGTGCGCTCTGCCCGAACGGCAGCAATATCCCCGCGCCCTGCAGTTTGCGTCAAGGCGTGACGAATGCTACCGAAAATTCCACCCGCCGTGGAACCCAGGTTTGTCCGCAGGAATTGGACTGAGATCGTTGGTCTGCCGTGGCTGTCTCGAACGCTCATGTAGGCTAGTCGGCCACTGCTCAAGGCCAGAACGAATCCGGCGGACTCGGCGTTCGTGATTTGTATGACCTTTTCGCCAGAAAACATGCCTGATATCGATCCTTCCACGCCATTTCGCTGTTTCTTCATGAAGTCTAAAGTCGCGGCGCTCGTGATGGATTCCCAGTACGCGATCTTACCGCTGATGGGCATAACAACAACTAGGCCGGGCTCTGTTGATGAGGCCGATGGGGAGACGAGACAACCCAATGGTAGAGGTTCCGATGTGTGTTTTGAAGGATACGGGAGGGTGAATGTGAATGTCTCGGGAGATTGGGATGGATCCGTATACGGCCAAACGATCGCATGAGTATGGCTGAGGCTGAGAGCGTAGCGGTTCGAGAAGATATCGGCCTGTTGCTGGGCTTTACTTGACTGTTAGATGCGAAGGACGGCAATTCCGCAAACGTTACGTACCTGAAGCATCTGCGCGTAGACGATCTGGCAATGCAGGCAATTTGCTCACAGTGTAAGCGTTGTTCGTCGTCTGTTGGGGATCTTGTTAGCTAACCAGGGGGGCGTTCGTTGCGACCGTGTATTTGCGTACCAAAACAATACTTCCATCGCCCTTGGTCGGTCTGTCGCCTCCCTTTGGCTTCTTTGCGCGCACGCTGAGTTCTTTTCTCGGGGTGGGCGTGATGGGGTTCTGGTTTACGATACCATCCTGGCGTGTGTCGAGTATCGCAACTTTATCGGACTTGACCTCGTACATCTCGGGGCCCGTGGGCGCGGACACATCAGGATTCACGAAGGTCTGCTCGGTAAGAGGCAGACGCTGGCGCTTAGCTTTGGGTTGTTGGGCGAGGCTTTCGTTACTGGCCGGTCGCTGCCTTCTTCTGCTTCGCGTCGCGGTGGCGGGACCGCCCTCGTTCATGGAGGGAGAAAACATTGTGATGCTGTCGAGCGACCGGGCGCGAGGTGGTTGATGGGAGTCGTGGTCGCGGTCGCCGTGATGGTTCTGGTGATCGTGGATGGGCCGGTGTCAATCAGAAAAACATTTCGAGGATGGATGGATTCTGTGGCCTAAGGTATTCTGAATTTGTTAGGGAAAGCGGAGGTCGGAAACGGTGGACGCAAGTGGCAGAGCGGATTTAGCAAATATGTGAGAGTGACGAAGCATCAATCGATTGGGTCTCGCAAAAAAAACACAAGGTTGCTGCATCTGCCAAGCACGGACCAGCAGCGCCAGCAGCTCCTGTCTGACCACTAGCAGTGTGGTGTCAGGCTCCATGACCCCGGTGAGCAGCAGGTCAGGGCAGGTGTGCAGGTGTGCCGGCGTGCCAGCTGAGGCGGCGGAAGGGGCAACGACAGCACGGGTGTACCTACCGACGTAGTGAGGTCAGGTCCCTCCACAAGTAAGGTAAGGTACTTGTCGACCGTAGGTAAGGAAAGTGGAGATACCTGCCTCGTGTCACGCTCAGTACGTACCTGCTTTTTCTCAGGTCCTGTTGGGCAGGCACAGGCAAGCAAGGCAGGTTCGTTGCTTCCAGCACCTCAAAATGGGAAAGGCTTCCCATTGGCCGACTCCGCGATCGATTTGGAGTCCGCTGAATCGACGCATTGGACGGAACAAAATACCTTAGGACCCTGAAAGTGGAGCCTGGGAAACCAACTGAAGTCAACAACGTCACTCGGCCCTCGGGAAGGGTCGGCGGGCACATCGATAGAACGATTCTGTTGTGTAAAGGCAGACAGAAATACCCACTAACAACTGCCTTTCCTTTGACTGAGTCGTTGATATTTGTGACTTGCACTTGTTTGCTTCCAGATCCTCGGTACACACCTTAGTCTGTAAGGCGACGTACTTCCAACTACCTTAACGTCCACATAGAGTTGTTGGACGAACTAACTCGACCCCACCATTCGCTTCTATTCACTCATGTTCTGCAACTCATTGCATTCTTGACCCGGAGCCATCTCCCGAGACACAGTCAACTACGATGATTGGCCGCGAGACCTCATGAGTTTGCATAGCCAATAGCCTTTCATATTCACGAGACTGTCATCTATTATTCTGTCCGGGCCTTACTTGTTCTTCCGACCTCGAATCAAGTCTCATACAAGACATTCGCCGTTTTGAGATCCATTATCGAGTAGACCAAAATTGTTCAGTTTGGGGCGACCCGAGCCCTCGGAGTCCTACACCTTAGCTGGCTTCAAAGTGGAAGTACACGGATATCACCCATCTTTTTCTGTCCTTGGGTGCGGTTCATGAGCAAGCCCGCCTGGCAGTGCGATTGAACGCCGGGCATAAAGTTGTCTCAGCTGCATTACGGATCGTCAAAACATAGAGCTTGAAGGCGAGTGTATTAAAGAGAGGGAAGGCAGGGTCGACGGCCATTGGCTGCAATCTCATATTGTATGACTCTGGACGAGCAACGGCAACCATGATCTCTCACACGCTGAGGATGCCAAAGGCAAGACGGATGGCTTACTCTATCCGGCGGTACTCAACAGCCATGGCCATCACCGATCCCCTCGTCAAGTACAGGACGCTGGTCTCAACCAATGTCCTATCACCAGATCAAGACCAACACAGACTGGCAATTCACCTACAGAAGCTCTACGGTCGTCTCAAAGACTACGCCCCCGAAGTGGACTATCGCGAGCGCCTAAAACAAGTTGCCGATATACCAGAAGCCCGCGACCCAGATGAAGCCGCCGCGACGCTGGCTATGCCGAGTCACCCCATTTGGGGCAACCCGCTCTTCAAACACCTCGCCCGCAAGGCCATGCCAGATCCAAAGGAGACGAATCCCATGGCTTTAGTCCACGTCATGACCAGTCTGGAGGGCGCCATCACAATCAACTCACCTAGAGGCCTCTTCCTATCCGGTGAGGTGGGTGTGGGAAAGTCAATGTTGATCGATCTCCTAGCACAGGGCCTGCCGACTGAGAGGAAACGTCGGTGGCACTTCAACACCTTCATGCTATACACCTTTTCGCAACTGGAAAAGTTCCGCCAGTCCCACGCCGAGCTAGATGGGAACGAAAAGGAGTACGCCATGCTGTGGCTGGCCAAGAAGCTCGTAGAAGAGTCTCCCATTCTGTTTCTCGATGAGTTTCAGCTGCCTGATCGCGCAGCAAGCAAGATCCTCAGCCACTTGTTCATCGCTTTTTTCCACCTCGGCGGTGTACTCATCGCTTCATCTAATCGCGTGCCCGAGGAGCTGCAAAAAGCCATTGGCATCGAGTACACTGTCCCTCCTTCTGACGGGTTCCTCAAAAGTCTTTTTCTTGGCGGAGCTCGCTCTCGGGGAACTCGTCATAGTCAGAACGACTTTGCCGCCTTTCTCGAAGTGCTAAAGGCTCGCTGTGACTTTTGGCACATGGATGGAGCCACGGACTGGAGACGCCGGGAGACCGAAGTGAAAGCCGCTGTTAATGCCATATCCATCGAGGGAACGGGACTCGCGGCGGAAACTGCAGATACCCAAGAGGGTAAGTTAACAGTCACTGATTGAAGTATACGGTGCTGACGAGTCTAGAATCACTCAAAGAAACAACCAAGCCAGCAAAGTACTTTTTGACTCCCGAGACCTCGGAATGGTCATCAGAGCTATCATATCTCCTCTCCCAATCCTGGAGCCCGGCAACCCTCACAGTCTATGGCCGCACAATCCCCGTCCCGCGTCAACGAGACGGCGTAGCCTATTGGGACTTTGACGCCCTCGTCGCAACCTTTGGCCCTGCCGACTACGTGACAATGGCATCAACCTACCACACCTTCATCATCGACAACGTCCCCACCATGACCACGCTCCACAAGAACGAGGCTAGACGCTTCATCACCCTCCTCGACGCCCTTTACGAAGCGCGCTGCAAGCTCTTCGTCCGCGCCCAGACCGGCCCCGACGACCTCTTCTTCCCCGACATCCGCGCCGCCCAAGCAGAAATGGCTGCCGCCGCAGAGGCGGCAGCAGCAGCGGCGGTATCCGGGGAGGAAGTCGTCTCATCGGACGCAATCTACTCCGAGACCATTGCCGAAGTCTACCAAGACTCCGCGGCTCCCTTCCGCCCCAACATCTCTTACTACGACACCGAGGCTCCGACCTCGAAGTACGATCCGGACCAGGACTCGGATTTTGGCCGCGCCGGCAACGTCAGCAGCAGCAACACCACGAGCCCCAACTTTAGCAACACGGCCGGCTTCATCGGCGAGGACGAGCGCTTTGCGTACCGTCGCGCCGCAAGCCGGCTATGGGAGCTCTGCAGCGCCGCGTGGCACGCCAGGGGCAGCAGCGGCGGTGACCCCTCGGAGTGGTGGACGCCCGTCCCGCGCACCGCGCGGCACTGGGAGGACTCGGCGCCGTCCAAGCCTAAGCGGGATGAACCGTTGCTGCCGCGGAAGCAGAGCGATGCCGTCATGGGACCGGCGAGGCCTGTTGACGAGCCGTTTGGTACAGATAAGCTCGTCATTGAGAGGTGGACTGCTCTGGAGGAGGCTGAGCGTCGGCGGGAAAAGTCAGCTTCGTCTTCGTCTTCATCCTAGGATAGCGTGCGTCTCTAGAGTTTGATTTTCGGTTGCTTTTTTGTATACGAGGAGTGGAGGGCATTTGGAGTACGAGGAGCATGAGGGAGGCAGGTTCCGTTGGATGATCTTGCTCTATCCTTTCTCTCTTCGTGTCCCCTCCTCATCTTCTTGGTTTTGAGAATTATCGCATTTGAGAGTACCATCTCACGGAGCATAGCATAGCATTTTGGCGGTGCTGGACTTAGCATACGTCGCTCAGACGACGTCGAGACCTTTGAGTCTTCATGATGGATAGTTATCTTACATTACCGGTACCACCCGGTACTCACATTAGAAGAAAAGAAAACCCATACTTGACATCACACCCTCGGAACCGATGCATCTATCTTCTATGATCAAACGCCCCCAAACTCCAAGGAACCCAAGAAAGAAGGCGACGAACCACTCTTCACCCCCCTTTTCAACTTTAGATTCACACCGCCGCTACTCTCACTCCAAAACCCCTCTTCAAAGATTCGTCACACCAGGGGTCCACCCCTCCCCAATCCTCCTCACCTCCCCCTCAAACTTGCGACTCTTAATCACCCGGCCCCCACGCCCGCTCACAGGCGAATGCTCATCAGGCTCGTAAAACGGATTCTGCAACAACCGCACATACGCGCTCTGCACAGCCCGAAACACGACCCTCAACTCCTGCTCCCGCAAGCCAACCGCGCCGCGGCCCCCCTTGCCAGCAGCGGCAGTCTCCGCGCCGCCGGCACCAGCACCCGGCGTCCCGCCAGCGACCCTCCGCCCGCGCATGTCGACGACGACGACGATCTTGACGCCCGTGTTGGTCTCCCACCCGTACGCGGCCAGCCGCTCGTCCACGGCGTGGAGGAGGCCTACTTCGCCGGACAGACCCGTCCCCGTGGGCCCTGGCGCCGCGGCGGCCGCGGCACCGCCGCTGGAGGGGTTGTTGCTGCCGTGGCGGAGCTCGAAGATGTCTAGGGTCGAGGAGAGGAGGAGGGAGAATTGTAGAGGGGTGCGGATCGGCGCGAAAGTGTTTGTTGAGGGGTTGTGTGAGGGGAAGATTTGGATGTGGAGGGGGTTGTTCTAGAGTTTGGAATTGTTGCGTTAGCCTTGTGTCTTTTTGATCTGGTGTTGAGGTGCTGAGATCATGCGTTTGATCGTAGGGGGGTTGGAAGAGGGTGAACGGGACCACGAGCGTGGACAAAGGTTCGTGGTGGTCTGCGCCAGGAAGGGGGGAGTGAGGAGGAGGACGTACGTTGCGGCCGATGATGCCTATGCATGCTATGGAAGGGATGGCGGTCGCCATTGTGCGCGGCCCGACTTGTGTTGCCTTTCGGTCGCCTGAGGTTTCAAGTTTTATCTTTCGATAAGGCACTGCGCCGAGGCGTGGAATGCGATCGTGGTGTTGCTGGTCGGTCAAAAGTTGAGTGTGGGCGGTTTGGTGATGTGGTTTGGAGAACGGAGAGCTGGGGTAAGGTACAGGATGCTGGTTCTAGGAAATAGCTGGTGTGGACGGGAGCTTGATTGCTTTTTTTGGGGCGCCTCCTTGCTGCCCCGCATTGGCATTAGCAACAAGCTCCTAGTTTCCTGGCATGTCAACTTCACAAAAGTAGTGATTTACATGTCAAGGCAATACAGATAAATCTCCAAAGATGCCCAGAATGGATCATGGTGTTTCCCCCTTCGTAGAGAAATAGTATTACACCTCAACTAAACCAAATCATTACTCCAATGTTCATAACGAAGGCGTAGAAGCCCGGCCTCCTTCTCATGAGCTAACACGCCCATCGAGAAAAGTTGATAATACCAAAGGAAAGCGCCGTTCGAATAACCTCCCCCCGAATTTTTGCACCAAGAAGCAGACAGAGGGCTGTCATCGCCAAATAACCCTCATTCATTCAATCTCCTCATCAGACAACCCTTCCGTCTCCTCCAACCCCCTCAACATCTCCTCAATTTCACTCGGGTCCGTAATCGCCCACACGCCGCCGCCCTTGACCGAGTCCTTGCCCCTCATCCCGACCTCCTTGCCAACGAGATTCCGCCCAACCTTGCCCGGCCCGATGCCGATCCACCGCCTCACCTTCTCCTCCTGGTCGAGGTACTTGATGCTGTCCCACCACCGCACCGTCTCCAGACACTGCCGCGCCAGCAGGTCCTTGACGTCCTCCCTGCTCTCAAACGGCCGCGCGCTCACGTTGCTGATGCACGGCAGCCGGCCGGGGAAGGTAATAATGTCCTCCGCCTCGCGGCCCCGCACCCGGCTCTTTCTCGCCAATATCTTCTGCATCACCCCGACCGCGGGCTTCATCAGCGGGCTGTGAAAGGGGCTATCGCTATTCAACCGCACCGCGCGCGGGTCGTGGCCCAGGAACTGCCTCACGTGCGTCGACAGCGTCTTGATCCGCTCGATATTCCCGCTCAGCACAATCTGGTTCTTGCTGTTCACGTTGGCGATGAGCACCTGCTCGATAGGCGGCACGTCCTCGGAGCTCTCCCCTTTCGACCCGGCGCTCGAGTGGCCTACAAAGTCGTGTATCGCAGCAATCAGCGGGCCCAGGTACTCGGGCTCCGTGACGATGGCCACCATGCCGTACTCGCCGCCGTACTCCTCAACGGCGCGCCGCGTCGCCTCCGCCATGACCTCGGCCCGCTTCCGGACGAGATACAGGCTGTCCTCGAACTCGAGGTAGCCGCCCGCAACGAGAGCGGCGAACTCGCCCAGCGAGTGGCCGAGCGTCACGTCGACGCGCCGCGCGACGTCAAAGTCGAACTCGCGCTCGAGGATGCGCAGGATCAGGATCGAGGTCGCCATGATGGCCGGCTGCGCGTTGGGCGTTTTGGTCAGCAGCTTGCTGGGCCCGTCGGCGATGACGTCGGAGAGCTTGAAGCCCATGTAGTGGTCGATCTCCTCGATGATGGGTTTCGCGATTCGGGGGAAGGCTTCGAGCCATGGTGTTATCATGCCGACTTTTTGTACTCCTTGGCCTGCGATAGTCACATATACTTGTCAGCTCCTCGAAATGCTTCCCTCTCATTGCCTTCATATTTCCCCCCTCTAAGCACATGGGACTCTTCATCGCAACGCACGCACCTGGAAAGAAGAGCGCCGTCCGCGGCCTCTTCCCCTGTGATGTAGACACATGCCGCCTACTTGATTCAAACGCTACACTGCCCGTCGCGGCGCGCCTGCGACCGAGGCAGCCGGGCCCATCGGCCCATACGGCGGCGGCGCCTCGGCGGAGAGAGTGGTGAACTCCGGGAGCTGTAGTCATGGCCCGTTGGGAAAACAAGACAAAGGCGCCAGCTAATTGTGAGCTGGGGCAGCTTAGATGATCGCAATCATGGACTAATGATTTAATCACTTTGGTGTGTGTTTGTATCTCTGTAGGTGTTTAAACGGAGTACCGTAGCGTAAGAGAAAGTGACAAAGACTCAACGCCACGAAAGAGCTTCTAGAAACAAGTATAGAAGAGAATTAAAAACTAGAGGTGTCAACGAGGGGCGAGGTCCGCGGGTTTTTGCGACCGAGCTGGAAGATAATGTGTCACACGCAAGCACAGCCCACGCGCGGCGGCCGTGGGTAGTCTTGGTCTTGGTCTTGGGGTTTGGGGGAAACGGAGAGCAGATAGTCGAGACAGGAACGTGGTGCGCGGGTGAGATACGAATTACTGAGATGGAGTGAGCCCATGACGCCAGTTGGAATGGCGGTTGGTCCTAGGTAGTGGCCGCCACTAACCGAATGTCCCGAGGCCGAGGATTGAATGGGAGCTGGAGGAAGAAAAACACTGGAGTAAAGGTACCTACCCCGCGATTGGCAAACAGCCTGGGCAGCTCTTTTACAGGCGCGTTTCCAGTTCCGCTGCGCCGGGAGCGGGGCTGCTTTTGCTGGATCTCCCCCAGGGGGTCCAGGGGTCAATTGCCGCCGACTTACCCCGATGCTGTACTCTGATCTCACGCTGAAAATTGAGTCACCGCCTCGGCTTATAGCCGTCCCAACAAACAAGGCCACGATTTTGAGGTACCTGTATAAAAAAAAAAAGAAAACGGCTTTTTGGGCGGTTTAAACTCGTCTCCTGGCTTGCTTTGATGGGCACCGCCTGGTAATCTTAGACCGCAACGAATTGGCATCACTAGTCTGCCACTAGACGGAGTGGAAACCGAGGCCCTCCAAAGCATGTGAATCATACTTTGCTTCAAGCACTATCCAAGAATAAAAATAGCTAAAATAATTCTCATTAGTTTATATTTGCTATCATGTTTCGCGTTTCCGTCTAACACCGCGTCTCTACACCGCCCTTGCTGACCGTCAAATACTTGACGCCCTTGTACGGCTTCACGTTCTCACCAAGACCTTTGCTCTTGCGCGGGTCAATCATGATGCTCTCCACCTTGAGCCCGCTCGGCAGCCACCCCTTGACCGAGAAGCTCACCGATGCCGAGCTCGGCATCAGCATCTTATTCTGCGCCACCTTCTTCGCGTCCTTTTCGTCGTCTCCGCCGTCGGCCGTCTTCTTCGCCTGGGTGGGGCTACTGCTCTGGTACGGCTGCTCGTCGTAGCCGTACGCCTTGCCGAACCCGAACCCGTTAGGGTCGAGCTCGTCCTCGTCCTCGTCCGGCAGCTGGCCCACTACGGTACACCTAAGACCAAAGTAGGACGTGCCAGAGGATATCTCCTTAGTGGGGACGTGCCACTCAAGGACCCTCTCGCTGGGGTTGAAGGTCGCGTCTCCCTTGCTGGGCCGCAGCTCCGACAGATTTCTAACCTCTGCCGGCAACGGCACCGTGACGGTCAGATCCTCCATCAGAGGCGATGAGGGAGTTCCCGGGTGGGGGCCGCCGAAGCCTCGACCTGCTCCTCCACCACCGCCGCCACCTCTTCCGTACTGACTTGACGATGAGGGGCCACCGGCTCCCAGCACCTTGTTGACGTGTAACCGCACTTCAAAGTCGGAGCCCGTAAGGCCCAGCCCGGTCTTCATCTCAATGTTGACAGGGAGCTTGAG